ACATCTGGGTGGCACTTTTAAGCTTCCATAGGATCGGGACTACATACGTTGATTTTCAAACATAGGCCTATACCGCTCTCTAATACTAGAATGAATAATCGCACACAGGGGGCTTGAAATTACACCGGTACATTCTTTCAGGATTCAAGTAGGGATTCTGTCTGGAACAGGGGATTTTTTACATAAGGCATATTGAGTTTGCACTCAATAGCTTCTCAGGCTGGGTCTATTATCCATCATATTCGATATTGTTTTACCTTGAGCATGAAATAAAATAATAGGTACGGTAGTTTTCGCCGCACGACGTTAACCTTAACTTTAACGTTAGTATCCGACTTTCAGCGCTTAGCTTCGCCCCTTTTTTAAACAAATCGAAGTACGCATGCGTAAACCCGTAACCAACGTACGTCGAGCACGTAAAATCTTGAAATTAACGTACTCCGCAACGCAAGATGAATAAATTATGACGTCATCCGTTAACGTTAAGGTTAACGTCGTGCGGCGAAAACTACCTAATGGAATGGCCCATACACGAACTGCGTATTGTTCGGTAGGCAAAAGGGCGCCTGGATTCATGACTGCGCTAGCATATTTTATTCTAAAATCCTCTGATAGGGTGACTCTAACAGCATTGCTGACCTAAAGAAGGTATGCCTCTGTAATTAAAACTATTTTTAAAATATTTAAGGTGTGGACGAGGAACAAAATACAGTACATACAATTTGTTGAATATCCTCCATTCAGTCATTCATTTCTCTTTTTGTATTTGTATGTTTTTAACAATATGTATAAATAAAATTTGAATTGAATAGAACAGAAATACCGTAGGATCATGTTCAAAAACTGAATAATTATTCTCTACCATTTTTGTTCAAAGTGCGAAATAATAGCAAGCATGTCACATAATTAATAGCAAACTGAAAATTACTGGAACGTACAATCACTATACCGTAATAAAAATATTATTGGTTTATAGGATGTGAAACGATAGGGAAATATGGATCAACATGCAGCAAGGAATGCCATTGTGCAGATGGTGTAGTATGCGATCCAAGTATTGGATGTCCATTCGGACCATGTGAAGATGGATATTCCGGGGAAAACTGTCAAGGTTGTTGTAAAGAATTTTTTTAAATTTTCATTTTGCAATCGTAATTCATGTAAATTGAATTTATGGCAATACAATATCTTAATCTATACCTGTAACCAGGAGCCAGAAGAGTGCCAATGATAAACATGGTATAACATACATAAACGTAGGCCTACAATCTTATTGTTGTCTTTTTGTTGGCCAGTGTTGATTGTGTAGAAAGAGGCATTCCTTTCCACAAATTTGAGGCTTTTATCATGCCAGAGCAGAACTATTGCAAATTATGTTAGTGCTAATGGTAATTTAGGCCTTTTCAATGTTAGGTAGTATTTATCTGTGTGAAATTATTATTATACAAAATATTAAATCATGTTAGGTATATTTCTCGATTAGGGCTTTGACGTAAAAAATATGTTTCTAATAATACACATTGCGGTCTGCATCCCCATCATTTTGAGAGGCACTAAATAGAACTTACACCAGAGAATCCCCCAATTATGTGAGACTTACCTGAATTTTAATTTATATACTGTACTAACATGGAAAAGATCACATGGACAATGAGTGTTTCTGTGACTACCTTAAAGGGCTGGGTCCAGTTAGAGTAGGAATGCAGGACAGGAAATTTTGGCTTAAAAGACCCACTCGTCCTTTGGGGCAAAAATAATGCGGACGAATATGCTGGGGCTTCTCCATGTTTAGGAGCTCCTGGCGTAAACCAGTGAGAGCTCATCTGTTATGCCAAAGTGACCACCCTTATACCCTTTGAGGTACCTTTTTTCATTTGTTTGCTATTTGTTTTCTAAAATTTGTGACGCTTTACTTCAATGTTTCCTTTACGTGTAGTTCATGACACATGCTCTAGAAGTTATAGGGAACTGTGTGTGTACGGCTGTCTTTGTGAGGATTATGGGCCATGTGATAGAACCACTGGAAGTTGTGGAAAAAGGGAATGCAGACATTGGTTGACAGGGAATGATTGTCAACTTGGTAAGCTGTTTAATAATTTAAAACTTTTTTTTATTGATTTCCATCCTCACCAATCCCCAACTGTCATTATCGTTCGTTGATGAACTATTTTTGATACGATTTATAGCATCATGTTCCTAAATAATTTGAGCATTGTATTACATATTTGATCTATACATTATCTGTGTTCCCAGTGCTAAGCAGCAAATTTATTTGGAATATTATATTCCTATAATTTAGCAGCTGCTACCTATAAATTATAATACGGCTCCATTGTGAATGATGTCGTACATGTCATTGTAAGGCAGATGGAGTACCAAAGTGGCAACAAATATTTACAAAGCGATTTTGTTAGAAACTGTTGATATCGATCTGTAATACTACCAAAAAAAAAAAAGAAGTTCCGGTCATTGAAATTTGTTTAAGACCTTTTAAATTAAAAAGGGTAATTCTATTTATAGTAACAAGGTTGTGGATGAGGGGGGGGGGTGAATATATAGCCATAGCTTACCTTAATTCCAAAGAACATGCATTTCTGAGGATAATATATTATTGTTCAGTGCCACTAATTTTTTTTTATATCGAGGGTTACGAAAAAAATCATTAATGGTGTCATACGGTCAAAGGTCAGTTGTTATTACAACTAGGCCCGGAATGGGCCCATTAAAATAGCAGTAGATTATGTACTTTCCTCGTCGAGTCCTTGCTTTTTTCTCTAAACAAAATGTTTTATGGCTCATGAAATCTTTAAAATGACCTGATCGGTATTTCATAACTTTAAAATAGCGTCCTAAGATGGCCGACATACATTTTGCATAGCCATTACTCAGTACAAAAAACCAGAGGATCCACTAATTAGTCGTTAATAAAACAAAAAGACAGCAACTCCGAAAGAGACAGAGACATTTTGAGATTCAACGTTTTGATCTATTTTGTTACTCAGTAACAAGTGGCACTTCCATGGGATTTCCAGTGGCAATTTATTATTTTATGGGTTAAGAAATACGATGCAATATATATAAATAAATGAAAAGCGAGTTTAAGGAAACTATAAACAAATATGAAGTTCAACTTAAATGGCGTATGTGCATTAAAATATGTAATAATAAGCACGGTACCGGTAAATGTCTGTGCTGGAGCCACACTCATAGTATTAAATCATACAAAATAGCAGAAAAAAAATACGGCTTGCAATAAAATTATAAAAGGAAACATCAAAACGTGATCATTATTATTTTATTATTGTTATTATTGCTATTATTCATACCTAAAAGGCAAAAAATGCACTAGACAATAAAAAACATTCATAAAGAGAAAAAAAATGCCAAAATCATGATCATTATAAAAATTCTTATTCTAATCATGTATTAATTCAATTATTTATTTGATATTGCACACGAAGAAGTAATAATAGAAAAAAAATACGACTTGCAATAAAATTAAAAAAAGAAAACATCCAAAGCGTGATCATTATTATTATATTATCGTTATCATTCCTATCATTCACAATTAATTCAATTAAGTTCACCAACTAAAAAAAGCATTAAAATAACCATCAAATTGCACAGAAAAATCCAGTTCAGAAGAAAAAATTCGGACAGCAATACAAAAAAAAGAAGAAAACATTAAGACAGGATAATTGTTTATTATTGATTATTATTGCTATAATTTATGATAAATTCAAATAGAAAACACCTAGATAATTATTTATTATTATTATTTATGATAAATTTAAGAGGAAATATAATTAAAGGTGCACTGCTCTCTGATTGAGATTGAGGGAGATTTAGTTTTGGAAAAAAAATAGATTTTTCAATAAATCAATAAGAAATGGTGTTGGTCTATCTGTCTATCTGAAATTGTTACATATTAACTGAGATATTTTGCTACTGAGATTGCAATTTATCCTATCACATCGAAACTCGGATGAACACTGGGTGTTTTTGGAGTTTTGCAAATTTCTTAAAAATGAGTAATCTATGTTCGCTGAGCATGACTAGATTACATAAGGTACTTATGCTTCATATAGGACTTTTAACTGCTAGGCCTACCCAAAATGGTACGAAAAGCTCTTTACTGAAGAGATTCTAACATATTAACTTGTCGGTTTGTGAGGCTAGAATTCCAAACTGGGGTAGCATATTATAACAGTGAACGTAGATATCACTTGAATATTGTGATCAAAATCTGGTCTTTGATAGGTTAAATTTCTTAAGCAGTTTTAACATAAATAATTTTCTGTTTACTCTCTGAACAATGTTAGTTACATTTGATTCCCACTTAAGCTTATTGTCAATTAGGGCACCAAGAACTTTCATAACTTCAACTTCCATTAGTAATTGTGATAATAAGTTTAATTGGGGTTTTGGTGGTTCCCTCGTAGAACTGACGAATATTGTTTGCATTTGTCAACATTGAGTCTCACTGTTCTGGTTAGACCAGGATTCTAGTTTTAAGAGTTTGTTTTGCATAATTGGTAGGGGACGTTTAACTTGCCCGTTGACAACTATTAGTCAAGTCATCTACATATTTAAGTACTAAAGGTAACAAAATATCAGTAGTATTAGGAGTATATAGGGCGTCGTTAACATGGGGGATAAATAAAGGAGGACCAAGTTTGTTAGAGTTCCTATGTAGGCATATACAGTTTTCTATATATGAACTCTAGTTTGGCACCTTTTGGGACGCCACCTTGCAGAATTTTACTATTGGAATTACTGTACACTGTAATGCCAAGTGGCGTAACGCCTCTGCGTCGTCCTCATGCTGCGGTCCTCAGGGCCCCCGACTCCTAGGGGCGCAGGACTCTTACCCTTAAGGTCCTCGATCTAGCACCCTGACCCAAATGAGTTTTGTTGATTCATAACAAAATAAACTGTAGGACACGCATCACATTACACCCAGTGACGGATTAAGGGGCCCCTAGGTTTGTCAAATATGTGAAAACAATAGAGATAAAAAGAGAATGATATTCAAATTTTAAGTCTGTTAGTGCCATTTCCGGCCGCCATCTACAGGTGCTATAATCATAGTTTTTTTTACCTCAGCCCTAACGGTGATGGGGCTGAGGTGGCACAGACCAGCCATCTCTGAATGTTCCTCCCTGGGCTCCTCTATTCTAAATTCCTACTAAATCCGCCACTGATATCATATCATTTTTTCGTCGTTGAAAATATATATAATATATAAAATGGCAAACATGATGTAAAAACATGTGCAAACCCCACAGTGAAATTGGTAACGAGGACCGGAAAAGGGCCCCCAGTCTCAGAAAACCACAGGGCCCACGGCCCTAGTGTTACGCCACTGATTAGTAATGCCCTTATACCGTAAACCTCGAATTGAAGCCCAATGGGCTTAATCTCGAGATAAAGCCCATCTTGAATTGAAGCCTCCCTCCCCCCACCCTTTAGATTTAAAAATTAGCCTCGAAAAAAAGCCCGTGGGCTTCTTTTCAAGATAGCATAGGCTTCTTGTCGAGATAGTGCAGTACATACACTGTACATCATGAATTTAAAAAAATAAATAAATTGAAAGCAAGCTTGGTTTATACAGTAGGTTTGATGATTTATTAGAAGTTAAATACACTCCATGATATAGACAGATGTTACAGTGGCCTTATTTATTGTTTCATAGTACAAATTCACAAAATTTACAGCATTCTGGGGCGGATGCAGGTAGTGCAGGCGGTGCGATCGCATCCCTCCCCCTAAATTGTGTTAAGAAAAATTATTGTTGTATTATAGGCCTATTGTTGTCATGAATTTTTAAGATATGATAGTGCAACTTCCGGGCACCCTGAGGTCCATGCACCTCAACCTGGGGCTGAGGTGCGACAATTTTGTAAACTCTCTTGCACCCATGAGCGCAGGCGACGCGTCCCATCCCCCCCCCCCACCCAAAAAAAAACATTTAAAGGGATAGTCCCCTCACTTTTCGTCCGCAATGCAATTTCATAAGTCAATGAGATGCCTGAACTGCTGAAATAAACTGCATAAATGACCCAGTTTTAACGTAAGAGCGCTGTACAGCCAGAGTACCGTCCATCTTATTTTATAGCAACAACCGGCATCCTTGCCCACAAATATCTGAATTACCTATAATACACAACTCGAGTGCGCGCGCCTTTGTTATAATTTGAGAAGTATGAGAAAAAGCGTGCAAAGGTAAGATTGGTTTTCGGCCCATTTAAGTAGGTAAAGTAAAGTAAATACATCAAAGACAATATTAATTGTCTTTAATGTATTTACTTAAAAGTTTTATTTTTTATGGTACATCACAGCGATTAGATCGATGGTGATGACGTTTACTATATTAGAGTGTCATATCCGGCATAGAGGTACCGTACTATTTTCCCAATTGTACCACCTCAGCCCCAACTATGATGGGGCTGAGATGGGTGTGAACTCACGGTTTTGAAGTTAAAGTAAATACATCAACAAAGACAATGTTTTTTTTGTAGTACCTTACATCAAACATAGCTGACAAAAGATTATGGGAATTTGTTGGCCCTTCATTTTGACATAATGGTGATGTAATGATGATGAATTTTACTATTCAAAAGTGTCATTTTCGGCCGTCTAGATTTTCGCACCTCAGCCCCAACGATGATGAGGCAGAGGTGGATTTGACCTCACTTTGAGGTGGGTCAAGAAAATTAAATACATCAAAGAAACTGTTTCTTTAGTTTTATTTTTTATGGTACACCACTTATATTAATTAGATCTTTGTGGTTGCCGAAACTCCCTGATAAACGATCATGATAAATTTGCTGGCGCTCATTTAAACTATATAATGGTGATGTGATGAAGATGAATTTTACAATATAAAAGTGTCATTTCCGGCCCTCTAAAGGTACTATTTCCTCAAATTTTTTTAATGTTTATTTTCTATGGTATATCACACATATCAATTAGGTCTTTATATATGCCTAGTTGGTTAAGGCGTCTGCATACACAGCAGAAAGTCGCGGGTTTAAATCACCTTTTTTTTAACACTCATAGATTCCTCTTTTTTAACCTTTGAAAATGTATTTATATTTATATATGTAAAATATTACCGCAAGATGATTTAAAGTGTGTCTCAAACATATCATATATCTGTTTAACCTTAAAGCCTCTGTGGTCTAATAGTTCTGACACTTGCTTTGGCATCAAGAGGTCGCATTTTATTAAACAATGTATTTATTCATTTATTTATTTATTTACAGGATTACATTCGTTGAGAGCTATGCTACACGATGTACCATTATTCCTTTATTCGATCACTCTACATTTCTTTGGTGATTTATATATAATTCAATAGTGTTAACGGCTATCTTGACTTATATTATATACATACTGTATATATATATGATTCCCAACAGAGACTTTTTTTCATACAAATAATAAGGACCGTTGTTGATTAAGTATGTTTGACACGATTTATAACTGGTGGCAAACAACAGTTGGTATGAAGCAGACATCAATTGAAAAGAAAACAAAATAATATTGAATAATAATAATAATAATAATAATAATAATAATAATAATAATAATAATAATAATAATAATAATAATAATAATAATAATAATAATAATAATAATAATAATAATAATAATATTATTATTATTATTTGGGCGAGCCAAATGGCTGAGCGGTTAAGGCAGGGGCACCGTGATCATCACCTATTTTTTAACACTCCTAGATTCCTCTTTTTTAACGTTTGAAAATGTATTTATAATTATATATGTAAAATATTACCGCAAGATGATTTAAAGTTTGTCTCAAACATATCATATATCTGTTTAACCTTAAAGCCTCTGTGGTCTAATAGTTCTGACACTTACAAATACAAATAATAAGGACCGTTGTTGATTAAGTATGTTTGACACGATTTATAACATCATCTTCCTATATTTGAGCACTGAAGATATAATGAAAATTAATATTTACAGATAATTATATAATAATTATAAATCAAACTTAATAATTATGAGGAAAAAAATGTAATAAATATTCTTGCTTATATAACATCTGATCCTGTTGGAAAAACATTCATGTGCGTGTTTTTTCAGAATATACTTTAAATATAGGCCTACAGTAATAGAAAATAATACAGCAATAAATAAGTCTAATATTGTTTTATAATTACTTTCAGATGCAGCTATTTCTTCGACTAACTGGTGGCAAACAACAGTTGGTATGAAGCAGACATCAATTGAAAAGAAAACAAAATAATATTGTATAATAATAATAATAATAATAATAATAATAATAATAATAATAATAATAATAATAATAATAATAGTAATAGTAATAGTAATAGTAATAGTAATAATAATAATAATAATAATAAATAATAATAAATAATAATAATAATAATAATAATAATAATAATAATAATAATAATAATAATAATAACAATAATAATAATAATAATAATAATAACAATAATATTTGGGCGAGCGAAATGGCTGAGCGGTTAAGGCAGGGGCACCGTGATCATAGCCAACAATATCGGCACAGGTTCGCGGCCGGCTTGCTCCTATAGTTCTGGTGGTCTTCTCAGATAAAGACTATAAACCGTAGGCCCAGTGTACACAAATGCTCATGTGCACTTTAAATAACCCAGTACATCTTTAGAGATGAGTAGGGGGTTACCCCGGTGTACTGGTTTACTCGGCCCCTGTCGTGGACAGATGAAAGTGCGCCAGTTTACTGGCTGCGGTGATGAAGTGACCATCAAGGGAGGAGAAAGTTATTGAAAAGTACAACATCTAGTCCCGAGCGCATAAAGACCTCGTTTATCTGCGCTATATAAATCCATTTATTATTATTAATAATAATAATGATAATAATAATCAAATAATAATAATAATGGTAATGATGACAATGACAATGGTAATTAATAATTAATAATAGTATAATTGATAATATAATAATATTATCGTAACTATTACTATTCTTCTCCATATTCCCACACACAATAACACAAATTACAATAGTGTAAGAAACGACACAAACTTCCTCATATTTATACATTTACAATCCATGAATTTGATTGAGATTACACTCTGTTGCATTTCAATGTGTTACGAATGTATATAATTATTTAAAAAAATATATATTCTAATTACTGTACTTGTTAGTAACTCTCCCATTACAGGTTTGGTTCAATCAGGTATATTTTACTCTTTAACCCTTACCCTAATGTTATAGTCATGATTGAAAAAACCTTCTTTTCTTTATATTTAAGATATACCGGTACTTTCTATGGAATAAAGGACCTTTTTGCTATTGTGAGGGGAGTTCTATAATTTTATGTTAATAATGAATGACGTTCTTTCTTACTTCCACGTTAATAATAATGACATCTTGTAAGGCGCACATATCCATCTTAGTGAGCTGCTCTCGGCGCCATTTGCAGCTCTTTTTGAATTTTCCTATATTTTATTTAATTTATTTTTGTTGAAATAATATTTCTTATGTAAATATTTATTATCAACTTAATTAGTGAGGAAAATCAGGCAAAGACAAGTGCAAAAATCTCCCCCAGGGGTCATTAATCCATCATCCAATTTGTATAACTTACATTTTCTCCTAATTATATAATACGCATTACTAACAGAGCCTCCTGCGGGCCCAGAGGATATACAGGCAATAATAAGCCAAAATGCAACAAACGATATTCCAGGAGAAATTGATGTTAGCTTCGGTAAACAAAGAGGAGGAGTAATTATACATTACAAGGTACAAATCATTGATGGCGACGGAGATGTACTTGGAAATACCACCACAGTTGGTATGTTACCTGCAACTGTGACAGGTGGATTCCCTTGTGAATCTGTAACACCACAAGTGGCAGCATGCACATCAGCAGGATGTGGTTTATTTGCAAGTGGTCCCAACATTACGATGAATCCTGCAGGTAAAAAGATAACATAATTATTACTTATCACAAAAATGACATTAAAAATTATAATAATAATAAACGTTATGCCACCCTGGTTAATGGCAATTTAATGTTAGTCCGAGCGGTTAAGGCAAGGGCACCGTGATCATAGCCAACAATATCGGCACAGCTTCGCAGCCTGCTCGCTCCTATAGTTCTGGTGGTGGAACAAGTCTTCTCGGATAAGGACTATAAACCGTAGGCTCAGTGTACTCAAATGCTCATGTGCACTTTAAAGAACCCAGTACATCTTTCGAGATGAGTAGGTGGTTACCCCGGTGTACTGGTTCACTCGGCCCCTGTCGTGAACAGATGTAAGTGCGCCGGTTTATTGGCTACAGAGGACATGAACTGACCCTCAGGGAAGAGAAAGTTATTGAAAAATGCAACATCTAGTCCCGAGCGCATAGTCGTTTATTTGCGCTACATAAATCCATCTATTATTATTATTAGTCTGATTAGTAATAAATAATATACTGTATATGAAATTAAATGAAAATGAAAATACAATTAATTAATTTTTTTCGGAATCGGTTTTTGCAGAAGTTTGCACTTGGTATTTCAGACAATATATTTGTGATTCATATTTTTTTTTTTTGCGTATTATCAATAGCTTGAGAAAAAAATGTTTCCTTAAAGGAAGATCCACAAAATTTTAACATTTAACCAATATTTTAGCCTCATACCTCACCTAATTTAGCACCCGAATGGTAATTAGAGTCATAGTTATCCCAATGTGGCAATAACTTGTATTTCTCGAAATAATGGACCTTTCCGCTAAGCCCCGCCCCTTGGATGTTGTTGCTAAGGTCCCACAAGGCGACAGTGTTAAAACAGGCGAACACGTGCGTTTGTGGGACAACAAGTGTGTTTGTGAGACGCGCGCGTATTCCTGGCGCTGTTCTGATTAGTCAGTTGTTAAGTTTGATTGACACTCCGGAAAGGTCAATTATCAATATTTTTCAAGTATGAGATATGGCAATTGATGATTCAAATGCTTTAGTGGAAAGCAGACGTGTTGTCACTGATTTCAGTTTCAATGAATAATACAATATTTAAGCACACTACATATTTCTAGCAATAAATTAGCATTGGTTGTGGAAGATACCATTTGGTAGTTATAGGGACATGGCTTGTATTCATAAAACTGCAAGTGTATGTTTTGATTATGTTATAACATATGCTTTCTTATTTCAGTCCTAAAAATTGTTGATACATTCTGAACACCAATTTCATTATGTTTATTCCTATTGATATAACAATGTTGTGATATTCATTCTAGCTCCTGGTGAAGTATCTGTGAATGTAAAAGGTGTGCCATCGAGATCGAAAAAACTGTCCATATCTTGGTCAGCACCTGAGGTGGTCCATTGCCCAATAGTTGAGTACAAGATAGAATATAAACTTACCCATCTTGATCAGTGTCAGGACCAAAGTAATGAATTTGAAGTCAAGATTGTGAACCATACAAAAACACAAGACATCTTAACAAAACTTATACCATTTAGTACTTATGACGTAGTCGTTTCAGCTGGAGTAGATGGTATGAATGGTAAAACAATTTTCACTCCTGGTCGGACTGGTTTTGGGCTCACAACATCAGCAGGTTAGTACATCCAGATTAAAATAAAAGGCCTGTTTAGATTAAACATTTGTTCGAAGAACAAAATCACAATAATTATTTGTATTGTTAATTTTTCATAAGAGAAAAGAAAATGTTAAATTTTTATACCATGAATGATTAACCTATCAATAAATTAATATTTTTACCTTACTATTTTCATAATTATTTCATAACTATTACTTGATTAATTTTAGATGCTACTGCACCACCAAATAATATAATTAACCACAAAACAGAGGATGCACGATCACTGAATTATACATGGGAAGAAATTCCATGTGGTCATAGGAGAGGTGCTGTAGAAAGGTACAACTATAATCTAAAAATAGGTTCCCGTATTGTAAGACAAGGTGTTGTCAGGCCCAGAACTGTGAGGATCAGAGGCCTGGTTCCTTGTACCTCATACACATTCATGGTGAGTGGCAGAGGCCCTAAAGCCCAAAGCAGTGACAGTATTAAATCAAGAACAAATGTTGAAGGTATTATCTCTTGTTTATTTCTAAAGGTGGCCACTTAGTTCAAACTGAAATTTTGTCCCTAATGCGAAAAATTGCATAACATACATGTGCTTTACTATGTAAGAAATGTATGGTAATTATTTTGCTGATTACAGTAAATGGTAGGCCGAAAGTTAACTAGACAAAATCATAGTAAATAAACTATGGAAGAAAAAACAAAGGAAGCTTGCAAATGACACTAAACAACTACAGATAGATAAAGAGAATGAAAGATCAATTCATAATAAATAAACTATGTGATGAGGAATAAACAAAATAAAATGCATATATCAATATTAATATTATAGTTAATTATAATATTAATATTATAATTAACTATAGCATTTATATCAATAATTAACTATAGTTTATAGTATTTATATCAATAATAAACTATAGTTTTTTTTTTTTTTTTTTTTTATATATTAGTCCCAGAGAGCGTAGAAAATATCACCGTCCTTGAAACTACCTTGGTATGGGACAGACCTCCACCTTTGACTTGTGACATTTTGAAATATCACATTCACGCAATTTTGATTGAAAAGGATCAGTGTCAACAAGTTGGTAGAAATGAATATTTTACAGTAGAAGATGCTGAGGTAAATTTGTTAATTTTGAAACCACATTCAAGGTATCGCGTCACTATCAGCGCTGAAACAGATGCAGGGCTTGGTCCGGCAACTGCTCTGGAATTTATAACGCCTCAAAAAGGTAAAACAATATGGATTGATTGAATAGAACACAGTTACTGAGACACTCATAACAGTTGACATTACTGTGATGCAAGCTGATTTAATTAGATGGATTTCTCTAGTTCGGCCAAACCCCCATTTTAGCAAACAATCCCCTTAAAAAAGAAACACCAACTTTCAATTTAAAAATCACAATGGTTCCGCTTCAGATGGCTTCAAACCGTCACCACAATAGACTGTTCCATTGATGACACCTGGAGGCCCAGTTACACCTTGTACCAGGGGTAGACTGGGACCCAGGTAGTTACTGGTCCATTAATATATATTATTTTCACTTGGGACCGGGGGAGTTATATGCTTCGACACTAATTACACATGTGAACAAAAGCCAACATTAGACATTTCAGAGGTTCATATCTGCTGTTCCTTGAATGCTCAGAGAAATAGAAGGAAGGGGGAAACTAAATCATTAATTTATTCTTAATTAAGGAATTTATTTGGTTTTTTTTTCGTGAAAGCTTAAATGCCTTGCGCTTAAGACATCAACAGGCACAGAGTATTCCAAATTTGAGTAGACGTATGTAAAAAGATGGTTGTTCTTGCTCGAGGTTGAATGAGTGCATGGGCATTCATTAAGAGACGATTTTTTGTGGTCCAAAGGTATATTAAATGGGACGGAGAGCATACTTTGAAGATCTTTCGGACATTCTTGACACTGCATATTACAGAGTTGCTGCCACGATATGCATGTGGAGCAAGCTTAAGATTGCAAAGCTAACTATATCCAATGCCATTATTGATGACTTAAGACGCATAATGGGTGCATTTTTATATTGCTTTTTGTTCTGTTATAATTAAATAATAATAATAATAATAATAATAATAATAATAATAATAATAATATAATAATAATATTAATATCCTGGATTTATATAGCGCCTAATGTCCACAGTACCTCTACGCGCTGTACATAAACAAAAAGCCGAAAACATTATGAGTTCAAGCAAATATAATCAAAGAAAAGTCAGACAATTATTTTCAACAGAAAGGGAAGGTAAAATTAAAATGCAAATCAATCAATGTATACCTCCTGAAAGACATGTGTTTTAAGGAGACTCTTAAGAATGGTGATAGATTTTGCATTCTTAAATATTATCTCAATTAAAATTTTCTTTTAAAACCCCAAAAAGGCGCATTGGTCAACGATCGAGTGAAAGATATGCCAATTCGCCAGTGCCTTGGGCACCTGATATGATATATTTTTTGAAAAGTTCCAGGCCTGTAATGAAGATACTAAGTTTTATTCTGTTTTGTTTATGTAGTTCCTAAACGTGGCCCAAAAGAAGTTAATGTTACCGCTGTGTCAGCCACAGGAGCCAGTTTTGCATGGTCTCAAGTAGAGTGTGGTTATAGAAGAGGTCTAGTCATAGGCTACAAATTCAGCTTGCAAAATGCAGATGGCCACGAACTTTTCAGTAACGTTGTGACAACTGAGCTTCAGTGCGAATTTGACGACCTAAAGCCATTTACTGAATACGTTTTCAGTGTAAAGGCTTTCAATTCTAAAGGTGATGGAATAAGCAAAGAATTACATATAACAACAGACGAATCAAGTAAGAATGTCTTTTTCAGTACAGTATTAAGATACGTTATGTTTTTCTTTGGTTATTTAACTATTATATTATTTTTGTGGATAAAAAATATATGCTTATTATAATATATATAATATATATATATATTCATTTATATATATATATATACTG